TCTAAAAGTTGTGTGGCTGAAGGAAAAATGTTTGCTTGACACGGAGGCAGTCGCTCATTCAACTCACACTTGAAGGCATTCCTCGGAGAACGTCTTAGTCCCTAGAGGAAAACAGGCTCTGGGGTCCTGGAAGGCATTACCTGTACTTCCGACTGGAACACAGCCAACAGCATCCTTGCAGGCATTCTGCAAGCACCGCCCGGAAGCTCTGGTCACCTGAGAAACTTTGGCCCTCTTTCCGCCTGCACTCAGCTTGGGCTGCCCGCGAGGCGCTGCAGGGCATTCACGCTGGGCCAGAAGACATGGTGCTGCCCTGGGCTCCCAGGAGGCCTGCCATTCTCATTTGCATACTTCCGATCACTGTCGTCTTATGAAGTTCTGTGCTTTTCATTCTTCACACCGGGGAGGCTCTAACACAGCGGTTCTTAACCTGTGTGCCAGACCCCTTTGGGGGTCGAATGACCCTTTGACTGGAGTCGCCTAGGACCATCAGAAAACACGAGTTCCCATGGTCTTAGGAACCGAGACACCGCTCCTCTATGCAGATAGGCCCACATATGAGTACCCGGCGTGAAGACTGTGACCCATGCTACACCATGCTTCCAGACAACATTTCATTGACTCGTCATTAAAAATAAATACTTCGCAATATATAATTACATATAGTTTTTGTGATTCATCACTATACTTTAATTATGTTCCATTTGTAACAATGAAAATACATCCTGCCTATCAGATATTTACATGATGACTCATAACAGTAGCAACATGACAGTGATGAAGTAGCAACGAAAATACTTTGATGGAAAAAAAAAAGAAAAAGAAAATACTTTGATGGTTGGGGTCACCACCACCTGAGGAAGTGTGAAAGGGTCCCGGTATTACGAAGTTTGAGAACCACTGCTCTAAGGATTGGCTAGAGGGGGTTGGCTTCCCTCTATCATCGCCACGCTGGTCATGGCCTGAAATGAAATGGTCTCTGCTCCTTTGCTCCCCCTACCCTCGGGATGGCAGGACACCTCCGGTGTTGCTGGCTGGCAGCAATAGGAGACAATCACAGCCAATAAGAGGGCAGAGAAAAGGGGTATTTCCCGCTGGTGAAATGTCCCGCCCTCTTCTCTGCCTTGAAGGCGTCGTGGCAGCGGCCTATGATAAAGTCTATCCTGGAGTGTGTAGCTGTGCACTGCAGAAGAAGGTGCACCATGCCGCCGCCGTTGGGGTGTAGATTCCGTAAATGTCTGAGTTCAAGTTGCTTGATTGTGCTGTTTAGAACTTCTGTATCTTTGTTGAGTTTCTTTCTGGTTTTGTCCATCTCCAAAAGCCTCCTGCTATTATTGTAGAATTGTGTATCCCTTTTCAATTCTGTTAAGAGTTTATCTCATGGATCTGCCTGTCACTGGATGTATACGTAATTATTATGGCTTAAAACCAAAAAAGGGGGGTCATGGTGGCACAGTGGGCTGAATATCGAGCTGCTAAAGGGGAAGTGGGTGGTTCAAACCCACCAGCTCCCCCACCCCCCCCAAGAGGAAGATGAAGCACTGGCTACCTCTGCGATCCCATGGCGCAGTTCTGCTCTGTCCTACAGCTTTGTTATGAATGGGAATTGAGCCCATGGTGCTGGGCTTGGGGTTTTCTCTGCTTGTGATTGTATTAATGGCAGCCACCACTTTTGTGCTTGTTGCAAGCCCTGCCCTTTGGCTCCAGAAACCCCCCTTGCCTTCCTTGGGCTCTCATCCAAGGGCGGTCATGGCAGCCAGCTACTGTTCATCTCCTAGTTGTCCCATGTCCCCCTGGCTGGCTTTTCAGTCTCTTCTATCAGCTGTGGCATCCCTCCTCTCTATTAAATTCCCTCTATATTACATACTCAGGGTGACGCCGGCTGAAACCCTGACTGACACTATCTCTCAGCTCTTCCCAGGCCTCCCAATCGTCATGACAAGTGCAGTCTCTAACACAGACCATGCATATTTTCTCAAATGTATGTACGATTCAAATAAAGATAACTGTTACTATTTTTAAGTAAAGGACAAGAGTTGTTTGTGCATCAAAGAACAAAAATCATATTGTAAATGAGGAGGAGTGCAGAGTGGAGACCCAAAGCCCATCTGTAGGCAACTGGACATCCCCTTACAGAAGGGTCATGCGGAGGAGATAAGTCAGTCAGGGTGCAGGGTAGCAACGATGAAACATACAACTTTCCTCTAGTTCTTAAATGCTTCCTTCTCCCCCCACCCCACTATCATGATCCCAATTCTACCTTACAAATCTGGCTAGACCAGAGGATGTATACTGGTACCCATAGGAACTGGAAACACAGGGAATCCAGGACAGATGATCCCTTCAGGACCAGTGGTGAGAGTGGTGATATCGGGAGGGTGGAGGGAAGGTGAGGGAGAAAGGGAGAACCGATTACAAGGATCTACATATAACCTCCCCCCCCCCTGAGGAATGGACGACAGAAAAGCGGGTGAAGGAAGACATCGGACAGTGTAAGATATGACAATATCTTACAATATGACAAAATAATAATAATTTATAAGTTATCAAGGGTTCATGAGGGAGATGGGGAGGGAGGGTGAAAATGAGGAGCTGATATCAAGGGCTCAAGTAGAAGGCAAATGTTTTGAGAATGATGATGGCAACAAATGGACAAATGTGTTTCACACAATGGATGGATGGATGGATTGTGATAAGAGTTGTACGAGCCCCCAATAAAATGATTTAAAAAGAAAAAAACAGAAGACTTAAGACAGAGTCTCCAGCCTGTCCACCCATCCATGCATCCCTAAGTCCCTCCTATATTGACATTCTGGAGCCGCCTCTGTTCCCCACACTGGGTCTTCATGTTGGGAGGAAGTTTACATGTGCGCATGTGGACACTGACGGGAGGGAGAGGGAGGCCGCCTTCACGCTGCAAGGACAGAGGCCTGATTCAGAGTGAGAGCCCGGCTCCTAAGAGGAGATCCAGTCTTAGGAGTCATCCACAATCCACTTGGTTAGCTTCTTCCTAAGACCGAAACCGCAAAACCACCTGTGAAGTCTTTCACTTCCATTTCCCATGAACTTGTTGAAGCTCCCTCATATAGTGTGTGGTGTGCATGTGTGTATATACAATCAATGCTCATGGAAGCAGCAGTCAAGAGATCACATGACACATAATACTGGGTAAATCTGCTGCGCCAGACCTCTCTAAAGTCTTGAAAAGCAAAGGTGTTACTATGAGGACTAAGGTGTGCCCAGCCCAAACCACGGCATTTTCAATCACTTTATATTCATTTAAGAGTTGGACATTCAATAAGGAAGACTGAGGAAGAATCGGTACATTTGAATTATGGTGTAGGGAAGAATATTGAAAGTATGTGGAAAGTACGTGAAAGTACGCCCAAACAACAAACAGGAGGAAGTGTGGCCAGAATGCGAGACTTTGTCTCATGTACTTTGGACCTGTTGTCAGGAGAGACCGGTCCCTGGAGAAGCACATCGTGCTTGGTAAAGTGCAAGGGCAGCAGAACAGAGGAAGACACTGCGACAATGGACTCAAACACAAGGACATTTGTGGGGAGGACACAGGACCAGGCAGTATTTCATTCTGCTGCACGTGGGGTCACTTCGAGTGGGAACAGACTCACCATCACCTAACAAAACAACATCTATTTATGTTTCTCTCTCGATCTCTATCCTCTTAAATGGGATTGCGTTTGCTTTCAGTCTGATTTTTTTTCCACTTAATATACTGTGAATTTTCCGCAGATCTATTACAAATTTGCATGATCATTTAAAAAATTTAAACCCTTCCCCCCATATTACCATTTTTAATGGTATGTAGTGTTCTAGCAAGAAGCCCTGGTGGACTCGTGGTTATGCGTTGGGCTGCGATCCACAAGGTCAGCAGTTTGATACCACCAACCATTTCGAGGAAGAAAGATGAAGTTTTCTACTCCTGTGAAGAGTTACAGCCTCAGAAACCCACAGAGGCAGTCAGTCGTACCTTGTCCGATAGGGTGGCCAGGCTCACCCTTCTTCTGCCTCTTAGTGATTCCTCCCAG